CTACGGATGATAGGTGAAATAAGATTAAAATACAACTTCATACAAAAATAGAACCGACATCGGCTTAGGAATGTTCTCTACCAAACAATGATGCAGTTGTTTCATCAAGTTATATATAATAACCTTTTATGACCAAAAAAGGAATATAAAACCTATCTATGGAATAAAAACAACAACAAAAACAACAACAACTAAAATGACACCTGGAAACTTGAATATAATGTTAAAATGCATTTTAAAATCGCACCAGAGCACGACCACATAAAGTCAAAAGGTAAACTACTGGCCAATGCGACATCGTCTTTTGTTGGTTACCCAGCCACGTTGGCATTTCTTGGAACACAATGGCTGATCTTGTTGCCAAGGCAGCACTCAACAAATCTGTGACACCACTTCTTATTCCTTACTCTGATTACAAAGCTTGCATTGGAACTTACATCCGTGATCTGATGCAGAAGAAGTGGGACACTCAAGTAGGTATTAATAAACTACATGAAATAAAACCTTATATTGGTTACACTCACTTGGGTTGTCAGTACAGATTTCAAGAGGTCATTATGCGACGATGTCGCATTGGCCATACAAGATATACTCACAACTACTTGTTGAAAGGTGAAGATCCTCCGTTTTGTATCCCTTGTGATGAGAAAGTCACAGTCAAGCATCTCCTGCTTCACTGTGTCGAATTCTCCATCATAAGGGATAAATATTTTAATGTCAAAACTGTTAAGGATCTTTTTAACACTGTTCATGTTCATTTAATTCTTGATTTTTTAAAAGAAATTGATTTGATCACTGATTTTTTATTAATATGCTCTGTAAGTAGATGTATTTTAATGATTGGTAGTTTAGATTGTTAACTTAGATTGTTAGTGGCTGTGCCCTCAAAGGGGGTTGACGTAGCGTAAAATTATTGTCCTCCTGAGAGGGTACGTAAGTCCCAAAACATTTCAAGTAAATTTCAGTCTACCAGGTTTTTAATCGTAGTATATTTGTCATTTTAATGTATGGCTAAATCTCAGTATAACCGCCAATGGCTGAAGGGATGGTGTAAATCCAGATAGGGTCCATGCAGGTAGCAAAAGTAATGTAAGCCCCCATGGGCCTTAGTATGGTGATCTACCTTCAGTTGTTGGCGATCTATAGCCCATTTTTACATTGTATTGTCTTCTTTAATTGGAATATTTTAGCCTTGTTCGCTAGTTTTGTATTGATATCTGTGATTATCTAGTATTTTTACTGTCCTTCGTCGGCAGGTTTTTTATAATAACTATATATATTCTATTGGAATGTCAAATGTTCTCGTCACGATATGGCTGAAATATTGCCGATGTGACGTTAAATAATAACTCACTCACTCACTCAAAAGGTAAACACAAACATTATGTAAAACAAATGATAACTGTGGTAGTATCAATTACACAACGCATAGACGTATTAATCGTCAAAACCGAATCTCCTCGGTGCTCGCCTTATTCTTCTACTTCTTCTCCGTCGTACAACGTTACCCCTAGTGTTTTTTTCATCTCTCTGGATTTTTTCAACAATCTTATTGCAAATTCGCAAAACAGCTTTTCTAAATAGGTAAAAGAATCCACCAAGAGAGAGAGAGAGAGAGAGAGAGAGAGAGAGAGAGAGAGAGAGAGAGAGAGAGAATAAAATAGAACTTATATTCTTGTTAGAATTTCCCTCTAATTACTACTGTCTGCAATTTCGTTATAAATTCTTTCAGGAAGTTGATACGTTTCATCAGAGGAGGAGTTGTCATTTGTAACGTGTAGGACATGCAGTTCATGTGCTTTTGGTAAAGAAATTCTTTGATATGCGTATTCTAATTTCTTTTTTGGATTTCGGTAAGTAGCAAATATGAGTGTAAACAATACCAATGCAAACAATAAGATGCACAATTCAACAATTAAATTGTAAACAATTTAAGTGTATGCAGTCCAGGTGATGATCTCTGTGGACTTCTAACCCCGTTGAGATTACTGACTCCGGTGTATATTATGATAAGCTATACACGCGGTTTCGTGTAATTAATCAAACTAGTCCGGTAAACGAAGCGCAAAAAACGGCCAGGTTGGACAAAATTGCTTTATTTTGTTTTTCAACTGAATTTGATAGGAAATTATGTCTACAAGTCAGGATTAAAGATCTACCACAATCTGAGTGGTGCTAATGACCTAGATTTGCCGAAATCCAAGATGGCCGCCAGCCAGGCTCCGAAAACCCCAAAAATGTTGTATCTTCATAACCATTTGACCTATACCAACAAGAGAATTATGTAAACCCATGTTTTTCAGGTCAGAGAATCCATTTATAACACCAGATTTGCTCTAGGATGCCCCCTTTGTCTCATTTTTGCAATAAATATGAAACTTCTGCTTAAAAACAAGATGGTGGCCAAAGAATCAACTGTTTAACCAATCAAAAGCATCAATGCAATCATTATTGAAGTTAACAGTCTTCATATCTTCAAATATGAGTGAGTGAGTGAGTTAAAATTTAACGTCACATCGGCAATATTTCAGCCATATCGTGACGAGAACAATTAATTTTATACATAATAAGCAAGGGCAAACTATAAAAACCTGTCAACGAAGGACAGTAAAATAACTAGATTATCACAGATTCGAATTTAAAACTAGCAATCAAATCTAAAACAGTCTAACTATAGGACAATACAAGGTAAAAACCGGCTATATATTGCCAACAACTGAAGGTAGATCACCATACTAGGGACCATGGGGACTTACAGTACATTAGCTTCTTCAAATATGAAGATATTGAGGTTAACACACAAAAATTTATTTATATTTAGTGACTTTGTGTCTCTATATATTGATCTTGTGTCCATAACACTCCACATAACTATTCATCTGTTGACTCAGTTGCCACATTGAGGCAGGTTGTTCCCTTGCAATGTCCACAGGCTAAGGTGCAGAGAAGTCCATTCTTTCGACAGGAACAAGTGTTCCTGTCACACTTGCCATTGCAATTACATTTGATCAGTTTTAGTAAGCAAGCAGGTGCGGCATCTTTCTTCATTCTCAGTGGCTTCAATCTGTCCACACTCTGACTTTTGCAAATTTGCCAACCCCAGTTGGTTGGATCAAGGTTATTGCCGAGCCATGTTTGAACCTGATGGTATGCCCGGTAGCTGTGATACTTGGCTGCATCTGTGGTCGGTGGGAGGGATTCAGGAGGTAGATATACTGATCTTGAGGCCACTTTGTTGCTGAACCTTACTGCTCTTTCATAGTCAAGACTGTTTCCAGAACTACAGCCATATAAAACTTCAAGAGCTGCCTGGCCGTGCAAACTGACATTCTCATGTCCTTGATTTGGTTTCATGAACTCAGTGCCATGCTCTCTAAGCTGGTGAAATTTACTCAAAGCCATGATCTTTCCTATGCCATATGGCCTTGACACTGTATCGCATCCAGTGACAGCGTGTAGGAAAAGCAATGTTGAAGATAGATCAGGATCTAGACCTTCTTGCATGGTACGAATGTTGATTTTCTTTGTGGATGTTTGCAGGCATATTCCATGATGTATTGGCCTCAAATGGTGAAGAAGCAAGATGAGCAAGTCTGTGTCATCCCCAACTACTGTCACGGGTCTCTTCATGGCAATCTTACAGGCAATTGCGACAATGTCATAGTCAGCATCAGCTGAGCTGTGGTGGACCTCTATGCCAGCCTTTTCCATCTCAGTGCCCAGGAAATACAGAAGTTTCTGTTTGTTCTTTTGGTTTTGCAAGGAATGCCTTCTTTTTCATAGTCATTTTCATATTGGGCTTGAAATTGACTTCTGGGCCAAAGCTGTGCGTACCTTCTCGTCTTTGATGGGTTTCGTCCTTGGTAGAGGGGCCACTCTCGTAGCCATCAAATACCAAAACAGCATCACCATAGTGACGAGTTACAAACTGGACATATATGCTTGAAATGTCAGCATAGGTTGAATGACTTGGCCATGGTAATTGCTGCAAGAGAGCTCCACCATCAAGGACATAGACAGCATCTCCGGGTGATTCGTTGTCAAGACAAGCTGGAACCTTCTTCACCAAGCCCTTCTGAAGACTTGACTTGTCTGGCAGGCGCATTAGCAGACTTGTATCGAAGAGGGCTGTTGGATATGATGATAGTTCGTATGAGAACAAGGTTTGTACATCAATGATTCCTGTGCCAGCTACTACAAGTCGCTGAAACAACTGCTTTGAGTCAATCTCCAGACGATCCCCGTCGACGGAAATGTAGGTGAAAGAGGCTAATGTGCTGACCTGATCCTTTTTGCAGAACTTGTATTCTGCTACAGTTTTGCCTACAATTGAATCTACTATGGCCTCTCCAACTGTGAATGCTCTGTCAACATTTACAGAACTGTCACCTATGAGTCCAGATGAGAGACTTCGCAATTCCTTTGAATTCTTTGAGAATGGTTCTCTTTCCATGAAATAGTTCATTATGGTCTTCAGATCTTTGATGTCTCTTGTCATTCGAGCTTCTGATCTGTCTTTGTGAAACTCTGCATCACAGTTGTCATGAACACCTGTAACTACTCCCATGGCTTTGTTGATCTCTGCACATGCAGGAGTGGAAAGCAGCCACAACAAGCTTGTTGACTGCTCAAAGCCCCGACCTCTTGTAAGACCACCTACTGCCTTAACATTTCTCATGAGAACTTGTTCTATAAAGAGGTCACTGTAAATCCCTGCCCAGTACCTGTCACTTCTTCTCAAGACAAAGAATCCATCAACAAACATGTGGTATACATGAGGATGACTTTCCTCAAGATTCTGCATCTTGTTCAAGTACAGGACAAGAGACTTTGTGTAGTTATGATGTCCTGATGCGGCAAGGTATGGTAACATCTCATGTAGTGTCTGAAGATACAGCTTCCAATTTCCAGTACGACCAGCCCTGATAAATGCACGAAGGATAGCGACTAATGTCATATACATGATCCATAGCTTGGCTGTACGATGATCATTGAGAGATTCACCATCTTGTGGAAGCTTCTTGTAGCTTTGTGAAAGGAGTAGTTCCTACAGCTTCATCAAGGGGTAGATTGCCATCTGAAACTTGTTTGCTGACATTGTGTATTGCCGTAAGAATGTCTGCACCATTCTGGTAAGCTGAAAAGAAAGAATTGCCATATATACCTATACTGAAAAGGTCTTGTGTATATATTATTCCATTACTCGAAAAATCAAATACATTGTATATAAAACTACATACTCTCATCTGGCAAAGGTTCAACATCATGCTCATCCAGCATATCTTGGGGTTCTTCATTCACTGCTATATCCTCTCCATCAGTAGGGTCAAGAGAATCTGAAAATCATACAACATGTTTAGTTAGCATGTCCACATTGAAACAAAGTTTTGCTCAAATTCAACACAGATGAATCAGAACATTATATGGGAACAAAACAAATAGGAAAAATGTACCTTCAATCTGATTGCCATTGTCAGCATCGTCCTTGAAGACATGTGGTACAGGAACATGAAGCATTTGTGCTGTTGCAATTGTGTTCAGAGCAGCATCCACAAGTAGGTGAGCCCTGACAGCTCGTGTGACTGCCTTTCAGACAGCATTTGTTCAGCACTGCCCTCTCGTGAAACTTGAACTATGGCCTCTTTCAATCCAGATCCAGCCATTAGACTGCCAATTGATCCTAGGAAACTCATTTGAGTATGGAAACCCCCTAACATGAGGACAATTTGGTGAAGAGAACTCTGTGTCGGTTGTGCCTCGATAACCATGTATGCTATCCACCAAAGCTGCTGGTCAAAGGTTATGACTGGTGTAGCACAATATCTGCCCGAATGTTCAGCAACATACTCCAACGTTGAGCGGACACAGGTTGGGTCTGATGGTGTCAGGTCTATCATAGGGAGACAGATATCCGAGCTTTTTCCAGGATGTGATAGGTCCTTGTGAAGCATCTGCATGTATCCAGACCACATTGGCTGATATTGAGGCTGATGAAATGCTACTGTCCACATGATATCAAGGCAATCATTATGAATAAAATGATGATGAACATCCACCTTTTGATATGAGATTTTGGACAAGATTTCTCTGGGGTCAACTTGGTTTACCAAGTTTACTTTTGTCAAATGTCTTATATCTTCAAGGCGCACATCTAGCCGTGGGACTTTGCGAGAACTCTTGATAGCTGGAGTGAATGTTGCCATTTGCCCCATCACATGAATGGACCCATATCCATCAAGAGTTCTTGATGCATGGTCTACATTATCTGCCTGGTACTGTAGAAATGAAGTTGAATCGTCTTCAGGTACATCTACACCTTGCACAACAGCAGCATTTGTTCTGTACTTGTTTGCCTCAGAGTATGAAGCGCAGAAACCAAGTTTGCTGATCATGTCTCCTAGATCACGATGACCATATTTGTGCTCCAAGGTAACACTAAGTCCTACTTGAAGGGGTGGAAGAAACGATCTTGGGCATGTTGACTGCATAATTGATTGACCTATTGAAGCCACACGAAGTTTTGCATTTTTGCTCTTAATAATGCTACTCAACAACAATTGAAGAGAATGTGGAAGATAAGCCAAATTTCTTTCAACAGAAGACATGTCTTCTGATGTAGGGTATTCATCATCATGACGCAAGGATTTGATATCTGCTCTTATGAACTTCCCAACACTTTCAATAAGTTTGTCCATGTCTGAGACATCATTTATTTTCGAGGCTCTGACTTCTGCTTCTTGTACTATATTTCAAATTGGATGTCAGAGTTACAATGTTAGGACGTTGCCGTATGGTGGTTATTGAAACTTTTGCACCATAGTGCTTTTCAAGCTCTCGCTCAAGTTGCTTTGGTGTGTAAACGTCTTCCTCTGACAGACCACTCTCTCTCAGCATAATTTGGTGAAGGTCTTGAAGTGTGATAGTCTCATCATCGTTTTCCTCCAGATAGTCAATCGCATATTTCAGGCTATTAGCTTTGGATATGCTTTGTGGTCGACCAACCTTTCTTCTCTTGTTGGAAGAATGCTTGTCATCTAAAGTATATTTTGGAGGGAACTTGCCTGCCATGAACAGTTCCTTGCAAGTGTGGTGATAGAGAGCTTCCTCGGCTGGAAGATCATTCACTGTGGACAGACGAGATTGAACCTCTAAAGCCCATTCATCATTCCTGGTGTGGCACTGAGTAATAGCATTCTCTTGGAAACCCAAAGTAAGGACATGACTGTATCTG